ATCTGGATTTCATCAACTTGATCTTGCCAAAGTGATTTCGTTCTTCACTGCAAATTATAGTTTGAGATTGTTGGAAAATTTATATCAACTGGGGAAAATGGAGAAGAAACAAACAATCAGAAATGTGAATAAGAAGATGAAGAACATAGTGAATATGAAGGCTCGAACGCGTAATCGCAGTCCTCAAACTATATTTGCCCCTCTAGAAGTTAAATGAGATGCTTAAAGGTTTTGATAAACGATTTGTAGAATTATATCAAGCATTGTAAAGAATTTAACACTAAAGTACAAGTGCAATATTCCAAAACTTTAAGAACACTAAGAAGATATTGCATATGAATGTAAATCGATAATTTGATTCAATATGGAATGATATGTGGATCTCAAGATGTGTTTCAATGTTTCTAATGTATTTGTATTGATCATTCATCACCTATTTATAGGCCTCAGTCTATTCATGAAATGGTGCAAAAACAAGATGAAAAGTGACAACTTTTAATCCAAAACGACCCCCAACTTTCAAATTGAAAAATCAGCTAAAGACTATTTTTTAACACTATGCGTACGCATAGTAGAAGCAAATTTGATTCTGTTTTAGCCAAAACACATCTCGTGTACGCACAAAATTAAGCTTGTGCATACGCATAGGCAAAAATTCAAAATTTTCATTTTTCAATTTCTTTTGGCTCTACTAATTCCACAATTGAGCCCAACAATTAGTCAATTATCATTCTATTGATTTTGAACAAATATTCAATATGAAGTGACCCAACCTTGTATTCTTTTTGTATGTTAGGGGGAAAATTTGTGAAGAAAGTTTTGCGTCTTTTTTTTTTTTTTTTTTTAATTTAACTTTACTTCTTTGTGTTTCATCCAATAAAATTATTATTTTTATTCAGAAAATATATTTATTCAAAATAATACACTCAAGTGCTGGCTTTTTCACAACGTCAAAGACCACCACTTTATATGGACACAACTGCCTTGAAAGTTAACCACGAACTTTTTTCCATCAGCACAATTAATAGAGTTTCAAACATGACTATAATACTATTTTTCGAACACGATATTCATTCCAAAAGATTAAACTATTAAAAAATGTATGTAATCTAATTTCCTCTTAAACCCATAATCATTTTTACATCTAGCATATTAGGACCTTTTGTTTGTAAATACTTAAAATTTATGATTTTTTACTTGACTGAATCTACAAGTAGAATTGATATATCATTTAAGTGCATCTTGAGATAAATAAATAAAAAACATCTACTTGAATTTACAAAAACTCGACCAATACCTAATAATGGGATGAACTTGATTTAAAAAAAAAAAAAATACTTAGGCATGTATTTAATTTAGACTTTAAATTACATTTATAGAATTTTTTTTAAGTGAAATTACTTTTGTAGAGCAATATCGCTACATGCACGTCAATATTTACATTTTGTTGATATTTTTCCACGTGGCATCATCATACCTCTGATTTTACCAACTCTTTCAAATCACTACCCATATTGTGTCACATAGAGGGGATATGTCAATCATAATGTAAAGCAAGATGTACATCTAGATTAATTCTTCGTATAGTTTTATGAACTTTTATTGATTTTTATAGATTTAGCAGACATATAAAAAAAATAATTCTATAAACTTTTATGGATTTTCGTTTTCAAAAGAATCCATTAACCTTCATCTCGAAAACTTCTATAGACTTTCATTACTAGGTAAAGTACTTTTTTGTCGCATTCGTAAGCTTTATAGCTTTTTGTATCTTATTAATTGAGGATTGCATTATTTTCAAGAAATTGGGGCATTGCAGAGAAAAAGCAACTCCCATCCACTATTTGTTCTGCATCATTCTTCATCCATCATAGTTTCAAAGCCAAATTTATTCAATTTTTTTTTCAGAGTATTATTAAAAAAAAAAAATGGTTTAGAGTTTCCCCATAACCCCAGTCATTTTCTAGCCACAACTCCCACCTCCCCATCAGAAAACACAACTGCGTTTTGAAGCTTTGTTATTGTTGAATTCCATTTTCTAAAGAGTTAGTCCACTTGTACCGGGGAATAACTTACCAAGGAATTAGAGCTGCTTTATTTTTCTTAAATTTATTCTCACTTATGGATTACATACAATTACAATTTAACTTGTCAACCGTCATTTCATAATTTTTTTATTTTTATTTTTAAAAAATCAAATAAGGGCTTCATTATCAAGATTTGACAAAACCTGCAGCTAGGCAGCTAGCTATATTTCTATTCTCCATCTCAAAATGCAATATTACATTTTAGTGTTATCTTAATAGCTTTTGTTTGAGTAAAATGACAAATTTGAATAAGGGAGATCTCAGACGGAATGATGCTAATTTATGAAATGTTAAGAGTAAAGGTTAGATGCCTTCAAAAATAAAAGTTAGGCCAAACTAGAATGGAGTAATAACACAATCAGTGTACTATGTATGGTACTATAGACAAAATAAATAAAAATCATAAAATTTCTTACATTAATATTCAACCTTTATTATTATTATTAGGGAAAATTGCAGACGAGGTATCAAACCTTTCGTTTATTAGCAGACTTTGTCCAAATCTTTAGTTTGTGCCACTCACAGTCCCAAACCTTTCAAAAATGAATAGTATTCCCTATCTTTTCTTTGATTTTTATTTATTTTGTTTTTACTTTTCTATTGTTATTATTAATTATTTTAATTATTAATATTAAGAAAAAAATGCAAAGTACCACTTTGCCCTTTTTAATTTGGTCAAAATTGGTCAAATTTTGACTTTTCTAGTCAACTAACGGTCAAACGGACGGTTTCCATCCATTTGAACCCCCGGTGCATATTTTTGAAAGGTTTGGGACTGTGAGTGGCACAAACTAAAGATTTGGACAAAGTCTGCTAATAAACGAAATGTTTGATACCTTGGTTGCAATTTTCCCTTATTATTATTATTATTATTATTATTATTATTATTATTATTATTATTATTATACACTACTCTTTGTAATACAATTGTTACACACGGATACACATTGATGTTGCCACCACTTATAACATTCATTATTACATCACTAACCTCGTCGCACCACTTGTAAAAAAAATATTGTTACACTTGTAAGACTCAATTGTAAGTCATCGTCGTTACCACCATGAACCTCTACCAACTGCAAATTTCAACGTTACACCATCATCAACTCTACATGTAATTTACCATGTTACAACACCGCCACCACTTATACCATACCACATTAGACCACCAAGCATCACATTAGAACTTGTCACCATATATGCTACTAGACTTTCGCCACCTTAGACCATAAACCACCACGTCTAAACCCTAAATCATCACCCAACGTCAGCCACTATCATCATAACCATCAACACCTCCCAAATCATAAAAAGTAAAAAAGTGTAACTTTTGTTATAAATCTAGTTCCGGATATGAAATTAGATTTCAAGGAATGAGAGAAGTAAGAGTATTTACAAAATAAATAAATGATTTTTAAAAATATGTTTAATCACCAGAAACGATTAAACATAAAAGAATTTCTTCTTGTGCTCATATTTCAAAAAATTTGTGGTCAACTCAACTTGAAATCAAGATTCATGCATTTCATAGAAATTGTGCCATAGCACCACGTTGCACGTCACAAGTTATATGTCAAATTAGTGTTATCCACGTCCTATCAATTGGCCTAAACTTTTGAGTATTAAATTAAATTATTCACCCTCTTAACCACATTGCAGTTAGTAGAGATTAAAAAATAAATAAAACACACCTTTGAATGCATTTATAAAACTTATTTGTTTATGTTTATGTTTGACTTTACATAAACTCAATAATTTAATTAAAAAATGAAGAAGAAGAAGAAGAATTTGACACTTTTTCATACTTTATATAAATTTTAATTTTCATTTAAACTAAAAGGTAAAAAAAGAGCAACATATTGTTGAACATATCTTATTTCGAAATAATCATAATTCAAAAAATAGCTGTTAAAAAAAGAAAAAAAAAAACTCATCTCACGTGGAAAAATGTAATAAATTATCAATAAAAATTTTAATTTCATATCCACCCATAATTTATCGCCAAATATCAACAAGTGAATACCTCATTATCATATCTTCAAAAATTTCGACTTAGTCGAATTGGATAATGTGGCAATGAACTTACTGCCGCTCTCATATCTTTAACATATACCCCTGTTTGGTGGTCTCTCTCTCTCTCTCTTTTGTTGTTGGAAAAACATTATTTTAAATAGTGAATTTTTGGAGAATATGTCATTGAAAAATAGGAAATTTTTTTGCATTTATGTGTAAAATATTTTTATTGTGTTAATATATGATTGAAAATGAATATGTACAAAAAAAGAGATTCGAAAAAATGAGAGATAAACAGGAGCTTAAATGAACCTAGTGTTTAACACTGATGGTATGTAAAATTATTTTTTATTTTAAACTAATTTATTAATTTTTCTTGACTTCAATGCAATTTATTTTCAAAATTATGGTACCAATAAAAATCATCTCTTTGATTGGGCCGTTGCCTGCGCTTCTATGCATGTACATATACAAGTATCGTGCCATTTCCAACTAATATACAACACACGAATGCTTCACTGTACTAGTTCACCCAAATCTTGATCAATCTTCTTCTCCATCTTTCCTTCAAATTCATCATAAAATAATTTTATCAACTGGGTTCGGGTTAATTCATTCGTTTTATCAAGAAAATTTTGTGATCAATGGCTGAGATTTTTTGATTCGAGATCCTAAATATTTTGTTCAAGTAAATACGGTTCTTTCAAAGAGTTATTGCAGGAGTTAGAAAGGATTTTTTCCCAACGGTAGCCTTCCACAGTTCATAATTCAAAATCCGAAACTGTTAAAAGGTAATTGCTTTTTCCGTTAGCTTTAGTTTTAGAAATTTCATTTTTTTTTTCCTAATCTTCATGATTATAATTTGTTTTATAACGGTTCTTTGTAAAGAAACTTTGCAGCAATTTTGAGGGAAATAAGTTCAGATTCTTTTGCTTTTTTCCTGAAAATGGATACATGTTTTATTTTCTCGTGTATTTGGGTTCTGCAATCTTAAGTCAATTCCAGGATAGTTTTGTATTCAATTTTTGTGCAAGAATTTCTTCTAGAATCTTAAACTATGTAAATGTCAAATGAATTCTTCACAATTCCATACAAAATTGTTGTAGAATTTAAGTTGATTTCCGGGTAGTTTTGTATTCAATTTTGTGTGTGAGAATTTGTTCAAGAATCTCAAACCATGAACATCTTTAGTGATTTCTTGACAATACTGTACAGAGTCTTGCAGAATAGAGGAATTAGCCTAGAAGTTCAAGAAATGGACGGCATATTAAATTCGGATGAGAATTATGAAATGGGATATTATCCTTCACCTTCTTCCATGGATCAAACTGATCAATCACCAACAGAAACTCCCAGTTACTCGATCCTGAGTCGAGATTCTTTTGCGTACTGCAGAACAATTTCGGAGACATCAACCTTTTCGGAGCACACGGATGATAATAGTTACTCCGAAATAGCCTCTCCTCTCTGCTGGCCAGGGAGGAAGTCTCCAACGCGTGCATCTCTTTCCAGACAAGGGATGAGTCAGCACAGGCATTGCTTGGATGAGAAGAATCGAGATGAGGTATCAACGGATGTAGGTGAGTCTATATAGTTATTTGCATGTTAGATTATATGTTGTACTGAACAATATTGGAGAAGAGGAATATCCATCTTATCTAATACGATGTACCAAACATGCCCTGATAGTATTGTTACATTGCAGAATTAGAAATGATGAAGGAGAAATTTTCAAAGCTGTTGTTGGGGGAGGACATGTCAGGAGGTGGGAAAGGAGTTTGCACTGCAGTTACTATTTCTAATGCCATAACAAACCTTTATGGTACTATTAGAAACATTTATAGCCCAACATTTTTAAAGATTCATTCATACATTTTTTTTTATAACAAATCTCGTAAACTTTTGTCTTGCAGCTTCGGTGTTTGGCCAGCATCTGAAACTGGAGCCTCTGCATCCAGTGAAAAAGTCGATGTGGAAGAGAGAAATGAATTGCCTTCTATTAGTATGCGACTATATCGTAGAATTCACTCCTACGTCACAGAATTTAAAAGACGGGACTATTTTGGAGGTGAGGGCTCTTTTAACGCGGTTCTGTAAGGTAAACTTTTGCCATTTTTCGTGTTGCTTGACAAGTAGTATGATTTCAGGTGATGTCAAGTCAACCAAGGTTAGATATTCACATCAATCTTCCAGCATTGAAAAAACTTGATGCAATGCTCTTGGTAAGATCAAGAAAAATTAAATAGTTAAATCGTATCATTTCACTATAGAATGAATATGTTATTCCCCAAGAATTGAAGCTTGTAACGAGACGAATTTCACGTGACAGGATGTATTAGATAGCTTTGAGAGGACTGAATTTTGGTATGCAGAACGGGGAAGTATGTCGGGAAATTTGACGCGTTCTGGATCATTTAGGGATATAGTTCGTCCTCACGGCAAGGAGGAGAAATGGTGGCTACCGGTTCCTTGTGTTTCCCCGGCAGGTCTCTCTGAGAAATCGAAGAAGCTTTTGCGCCAAAAACGCTCTTGTACCAACCAAATTCACAAAGCAGCAATGGCCATAAACAATTGCATTCTTGCTGATATGGAGATTCCAGAATCATACATGGCGTCACTTCCTAAGGTAGGTAGTTGCCTCATAGAAAATCCAAATGATTCCAATTTAAGAGAGAATTCACCATTTCATCACTTTCTAAAACCACATACTTTTTTTGGGTGATTTCAGAGTGGAAAAGCAAGTGTAGGCGATACAATTTATCGTTACATGTACACTTCAGAGAATTTTTCTCCTGATCAACTCCTCGACTCTCTCAATATAACCTCTGAACACGAAGCACTCGAGCTTGCAGACAAGGTCGAAGCTTCAATGCACACATGGAGACGTAAAACATGCTTAGCTCACTCAAAATCATCATGGGACACGGTCAAGGATCTGATATCTGATATTGATAGAAGTGATAAGAACCATCTTTTGGCAAAAAGGGCCGAGAGTTTGTTGTTTTATTTGAAGCAAAGATATCCTGAACTTTCACAAACAACGTTGGATATGTGCAAGATTCAATACAATAAGGCGAGTTTTTATCTCATTCAAATGCATTTAGGAATCTATGCTATGATCATTTTGGAGCAAGAAACATCTAAAATTCACCTTGCTGCAGGATGTAGGACAAGCAGTTCTAGAGAGCTACTCAAGAGTATTGGAAGGTTTGGCATACAACATCGTTGCTCGGATTGAGGACGTACTTTTTGCAGATAAAAGCATGAAAAATCAGGATTAGTAGCAGCTACGGCAACAAATTTATATTCACTTATATTTATTTCAACTCCAACTTCCCCCACCAAATATGTGTTAGCATTATTTTCAAGATTTTGTGGGAATAGAGAAGTGATTGACATGAAGGAATCAAGCAGAGAATGTAAGCAACTCAAATACACAATTAATATTTGTATAAATCTTCATTCTTTATACATATATATTCCATATGCTAAACATATTTCATCAAATTATCTATTGGCACCAAATGCACGAATATTACTAGATATTGTATCCTAACCATGTATGTTGATGTTGGTACAGGTCATTGTTGCTACCTATCCATTTCGAGGAACATGACAATCAATATGCTTGCTTGCTTTGTTCTCAAGTACCAGTCTATTATATTGGACTATATTTATCAATGAAATTTACGTAATTCTCTTTCAAAAAATGAGAAAAATGATCACATTTGCGTATAGTTTATAGACAAATTTTATATCATCCTTAAATTCGAATTAACAAAAGCAATGTCTCTTTATGTAATATGGATTTAAACATTTTTGTTTTGAATGTGAGTGAGTCCCTTTAAACTGCAAACTAAAAAGCCATTTTATTTCACTCATATCACTATTTGGATTAAAAAGAATCTGAACAGGATTTTGTATTGATCTAATAAAAAAGAAATAGACATATAACTCTCTGATGATGCGACATTATTTTTTCCATTCGTTCCCTTTGAAGATCAATTGCCGTCTTCTAAACTTTACCATAAATTTCTGATCTGTTGATCAAACAAATGAAAGAAAACACAGTTTTAATCAAAATTAGTGCGGATATTCAAATTTTGATCAAAAGATGATACTCTATGGTATTATTTTGTTCGAATGAATTTTAAGTGGTAACTGGTAAGTATACAACTATCTGAGTTGGAAACTTCAAAAAGGCTACAGCTGTCCCACCATCAAGCCCTTGTTTGAGCCCCATTTTTGAATAGCGTACTGATGTGAAATATGTGGTTTTAAAAAAAAAAAGTTTTGAATTTACGTGTAATATTATTTTATTGAAAAATATGATTGAAATAATGTCAAAACACTGTTTAAGAATGTTTTTTTTTTACTCCAATGAATGGGGCTCAAACAAGGGCCAAACGGATATGAATTTGAAGCTACGTAAAAATGGAAAAATTAATGACACAAGCTATACATTTCTTTCCATACAACCTAAGATGTCATATTGAACAAAATATACGCAAGACATACTATTGTCCCGCATCACTTGTGAGAGATCATGTGAACAAAATACAAGAAAACTTGATACACTAGCCAATTCATCTATAGCGAGTAAATACAAGAGATCCCACATAAGCAAATATTAATCAGATGAACTCAGAAAAGCCATTTATTTTTGTTATGAATTAAACTACCAGCATCACTTGATCATCGAACCATAGAAATGGGGAGCCTTTGCTAGTCATCCAACCATCGAACCCCATGTTTCGCCCAGAGATAGATAGCTTCATCTGGACCTCTACCCCCCAATTCATATGGTTCTGGTACTAAGTTTTCATTGTCCAACTCGTGCAAAACTGGAGACAAAACATTCCATGCAGCTGCTACCTCATCACTTCTCATGAATAAATGGTTGTCTCCATCTATTACATCATGTAGAAGTTGCTCATATGAATCAGGCACTTCTACATTGTACCTGGCAGATTAAGATGATGATAAGGATGTAAAAAGATCTTTGAAATATCGTCGACATATGTTTGACAACATAAGATAGCTTACTTGTCCTTATAAAGCAAATTCAGTTCTGACGCATCCAAGTGGATGCCTAGTCCTGGAATCTTATTGTTTACTCTTACTAGGATGGCTTCATCCGGCACGTCATGTAAAATCAGCTCGTTGGTGGATAGATTTATATTATGCTGGATATGTCTGCGGAAAAGGTTTCCAGGAACATCTCGGAATTGTATGCGGATTTCAACTCTGCAACATAGAATCCTAAGTGATCAGAAAAGCACTAATATTTTGGAACTTTAGTGAAGTTTGCAGCAGCATTGCACAAAATATCAAATATCTGATGTGGTACGATAAAGCACTTGCGAATTGCAAACAAATGCAAGGTTACCGTTTTCTCACAATGAATTCTTCACCAATACGGTGAAAAAGGGGGTGGATGGGTTGAAAAGAGAATTTCAACTGATTGATATCAGCACTAGGTAAAGAGTGCAGTTGCATTTTTTACACTGTGTCACGGGAAAACCAAGATTTCAAAGAAATTCCCCCACTCTTGTGGCCTTCTGCAAATGACTGATGAAAGAATTTACAACATATATTCCTTGTGCTGATTTTTTCGTACCCAAGTAGTTTTTAGCAGAAATTGAAACAACATTACCACGGGAAAACAATACACTAACCTATGTTTGATGAGTCCTCTGCCAACTTTAATCAGAAACGGGACACCATCCCAACGTGCATTGTCAATGTACAAAGCAGCAGCAAAGAATGTAGGGGTTGCTTTTTCAGTATCACCCTTGCCGCCAGGAGTAGGAGTGCACTGTCCAAGTATTACATCACTAGGTTCCAATTTCCGAATTGATCTCAACAGTTTGACCTGGTTAGAATTTTAATCAACATTGACAAAATGTCCAGTAAATATATAATATCACACACGTATGGAAAGTTCATACACCTTTTCATTTCGCACATCCTCACCATCAAGAGTTACAGGAGGTTCCATAGCAAGCAACGCGATGGTCTGGAATACGTGACTATGTACAATATCACCTATAATTCCATAGCCATTTGGATACCTAGAGGATAACAAATGCAATAACATTAACTGGAAATGTAAGCCATTAAGTATAGATTCTGCATAAACGGCCATCTTGCTTGCCTTGATTGTATCTGCATACTCAAATCTTCAGACAGAATGACCTGAAATCATTAATCCATGCCTTAGGATGCAAAAAGTGAAAATGAAGAACAAATAGAACAGAGAAAACCGAGCTGCATTAAGAATTAAAATTGTTAACTAAGAAAAATACCTGTACATTGCGTATGTAATTTCGGTTCCATAACGGCATAAAGACTAGATTAGAGAACCTCAGTACAGTTAGATTTTCAATGGTGTTCCTGCCTAAAAGATGATCTATCCTGAAAACCAAGGTATTAGGAAAACATAATATCAGTACTCATATCATGACCAGTGGATCAGAATAATGTTAAGTTTTAAGACACCCGCACACCTATATAATTGCTTTTCCTCAATTTTCGAAAGAAGAGCATGAGTCAACTGGTGAGAAGATTGTGAATCAAAACCAAAGGGCTTTTCAATTATTATGCGAGTCCAACCCTTCTGGCTTTGGGCATTATCAGCAAGAGATGATGAAACATCCAGCAATGCTTCTTGGGGCACAGAAAGGTAGAACATTCTATTTGCTCCAAATTCTCCCTGAGGTAGGTTAGCGGTCAAAGTCAAACCATCAAATTATTTGAATTTAATAATGAAATTTTGCTCAAAATTATTAGATAGCACTAGATATCTAGTCCATATAAATACAACGAAGAGAAAATAAAGGTTGAACTCTATATTAAAAAAAATGTACTTAGAACCAAGAGCTATAATTTGCATACTGATCTTTTTTATCGTCATCATACCTCCATTTGTTCCATTCGAGCACTAAGCTTTGACATTCCCTCTCTGTTATCATACCCTCCATTCAGATAGTACGTTCTTCTCAGAAAATCATCCATTTTGTCTTCACAATTTTGCCTGCAGAAAGGTAAAGTGTAGGATGTTTAAAGGATTACAAATACGTGCCACTACTCGATAAGGGAATTTAAGATGCATTCCAAAAGATTCTTTCTATTCACAAATATTGTATGGTTAGCAGATAAAGTCACCTTACAAGTTACATGCTTTTCCTCTAGATATAAAGAATAGCTATTGGAATACTTATAAAGTTCACATCTTCCATGGCTACATTGGCGTTCAAAAAAAATTGAAAAATAAAGAAAGAAAGTTGGAATAACAAAGAGCAGCTGAATGGTTTCAATATGAAGAGAAAAATAATATCAATGCTTAAGCATATCTATTTTGACCACCTATGTCAGAGTAAACAATTTGGAATAAGCATCATCAATTCCTTCCCTTTCCTCCACCACCAAATTGCGTGGATTACAACCATCCCACCTTGTCCATGCCCCATTTTCTTTCCTTCAGTTATTTTCCGTATTAATTATCCACAAATCGAAACGTTATCTGCTATAGCAACACTCACACCCATTCTCAGGATGAGATAGCACACTCTACCAATTCAATATTCTGAATATCCCTAAAAGACACTGATAAGCCACCAGTATGAGAAAGCATCTTTAGGTTCTTGAATACTCCTACAAGGTTTCCTGACTAACAATTTCCAATAAATTGTGATCATGAGTATGAACATCCTAGCATTATGTCACGAGATTTTATTGGTGACACACAAAAGAAAACTATAAAGTTAAAAAGTGTCGGCGCTTATCAGCAACTATACAGTGGTCTACTGCACAAGCATTTTTCGATATTTCATTCAATTTCGAACCTCTTTTAAGAGATTCAGGGAAATATACAGATGTTAAAATGAAATCCAAATTTGCAGAAGAATAATGACGAGGAAACATAGGATAATCACAAGTATTTGATAGGAAACAAAGAATCATACTGCTGATCTATCCGACAAGTTAGCGTTGAAGCTATCATGGATCTGAGCTCATCATCTGTCATTTTTTTCCTTGAATATCCAAATATACTAACATTCTGCAACAAGAAAACCAAAGTAAGTAACTATATAGCTTTCCTTATCAGTGTAAAGTATGGCGCATTTGGATAATCTAGCACGAAAATGAAAAATGATGTTCACTCAAGTTCTTAAGTTTTCAAATTTCATGAACCAAGAATAAATGTTTCCCCGTTGAACATGTTAACATGGATCCTTGCCGGGCAAACCCTTCATCCAAGTGGTTTCACAAGGAACCACACCATTGACTTTTTGGCATGCCAATTCTTCAATAATGAGATTGATGCAGCACCAACAGGAAAATTAATAGAAAAAGAGAAAATCGATGAACATGAAGAAGAAATCAGGGGAAGGGATGATAGAAGAAGAAAACAAGGGAAGAAGAAGAATGGGGAAGATGGAAATTTCACTACAAGCCACCAAATACCTTTATTCAATCATCAACTAAAAATAAATTACGATGCAAAGTAGTTTAAATATTAAAAACCTAAACCCTAACTAGATTGGGCTTGGGCCAATATAAGTCTAATAAGAATCCAAAACAATAAAGTCCACAAAATGAAATAAGGTCCAACTAGAAATAAATAAAAACGACTGGATGTCCTCATCAACTCTCCTAGGGTGGGAGAAAACTCGACCCTGTCGAGTGGATATATTAATATAGGTTGCAGTCAATCTTCCAATCATAAGTTGAGTGGTTGAGCAAGCTTCTTCTGTAGAAATCT